CCAGAACTAAATAGGTTTGATCTCCTTCTCTTCCAGCTTTAAACTCAGACACAAACAGATAAAGACCTTTTCAGCTTATTTCAATGGATTCTGTAGAAACAGATGCAGTAGAAACAAGTTTCATCATGTCGTTGCAGATCTGGGGTCATTAGTGACTCACCATGAAGTAATATGTCAGAAAAGCCTTGTGGCTTTGGCTGGGCTTCAGATCCGGCCTGCCGACATGCAATGCCCACATGGTTCATGTTACCTGTTGTTCCGACGCCCACGGCGGGGCTTTCAGCTTCAGACCTGTTGCTAATAGTACCAGAACCCAACAGCTCTGCTTTTAAATGATCCAAATCCAGATCTTACCTCACAGACTCCTTTAATCAAGTAGAAAATTGAAACATTTACATCATTATCATCCCTGTTTCCATACAAAGCAAAGAAAAAAGGTTCATTGATGGAGTTTCCTCATCAGTAAGCCCAGTCAGAGACTGGTGGATAACCGACATCTCATAGAGTAATAGTTACATGGCATGACTGATTATTAACTCCCAATCCTTTAGCAGATTTACACCCAGTATAGTTATAAATTCTCCATTTAAGGTAAATCGGTTAACCTTGAATTCTTAATACCTTTACTGTGCCTGCCTAGTATTGCCAAATGGTAAATCTGGGAAGGGGGCGAGAATGCCCCCCCTTCCCAGATTGAAACCTGGCTCCATACCACAGCCATGTTGACCTCACCAAGCAGCCAACCAGTTTGGAGTTCCCACATGTTGGTGGGAGGGAGGAAACTGGATCAGCCACAGACAGCAGATCTACCAATGGAACACAGTTAACCTGTAGTGCACTGAAGGAATCCATCAATCAGCGAAGCCTCTGAATGATCAGGATTAGCTTTATAAAACTGATCCACTAAAATTCTCCCACCGACTGAAACCTGAAGAGAAAATCTCTGCTTTCCTTCAAACCTCTCAGCGATTGAGAATCAGAAGCAGGCTTGGATTTAATGACAGACACAACATCCTGAGCCCAAACCTCAACAGACAGAAAGACAAATATCAGAGAAGTAAAAAGACCGAGCTGAGAGGAGATGTAGGAATAGGATGAAAGCGGGGTTTCCCACTGCGCTTGAAGGCAGCTTCAGCCGGAGCGTCAGCCGCTCATTGGCGCAGCGCAGCGCTGATGGATCACAGGTGGTCATCCTGATCTAATGTCAGTCAGTCAGAGAGCAAACCCACAGACCCGATGAAAAAAACACCTGAATCCGCGTGCATTGCATGGAGCTTTAAGTCATTTACCTTTTCTCCTCACAAACACGCAGACCGCCTCTGCTGGATGACTCCGCTCACCTGAGCTCACCTGTTCACGGACAAGGTGGAGCAGGAAATACTACTTGTATCCACGGGAAGAGACTCCGCCCCCTCGCCTGCCCAGGTAAACGTCCTGTCAAGGAGGGGGGTGATTATGTGATGTTAGAATGTTAAGAGATGGGGGGACAAGTGGGCGGAGCTAAAGAGGATAATGAGGCCAAAGGGAGCAGCTATGGAGCAAAGACGCGTCATGGCTGGTAGGCCTGTTTTCCTCCAGGTAGAGGGAAGGAGCTGAGCTGCAGGATCTCAGCAGCAGAGTCTCCGTCAGCTTTCAGGCCTGTTTGGACCTGTAGTAGACTGCCTGGTAATTTTCCAGCCTGGAGACAAACCCCCACCAGTTGACCCGTCCGAGGAGCAAAGACATTCCCATCATGCTGGAAAATCTGGAAATCAGGAAGGCTTTGGAAGAGGGAGACACGGCTGCACCAGAAACAGCATTCTAATGTTAACCAGCTGAAGATGTGGAGGTTCACGCTTCTATAGAGGAGCTGCACGGTGGGGCAGGCTGTAGCCGGAAAGTCCCCGGTTCGATTCCCGGCCCGGGGTCTTTCTGCATGGAGTTTGCATGTTCTCCCTGAGCATGCATGGGTGCTCTCTGGGTACTCCGGCTCCCTCCCACAGTCCAGAAACATGGCTGTTAGGTTAACTGGCTTCTCTACATTGTCCTTAGTGGTGAGTCTGTGTCTCTGTGTTGCCCTGGCGACCTGTCCAAGGTGGACCCCACGGCGCTCGCCCATAGACCTCTGGAGAGCGTGATGGAAAAACAAGCTGGATCTATAGCATAAAACATGATAAATAAAATCAGTTCAGTTGGTGCTGCAGATCTTCTGTTCCAGGAACTCCTCTAGAACCTCTGGAGGTGATTTCAGGGAGGAAGTTATGATGATGAAGATTATAGAGAAGAGTGAGCATCCTCTTGTTCAGACTGTTCTGGGGAGCGGCGGTCTAATAGTTAGACTGTGGTATCCTGAGGCTCAGAGTTCCAGCCCCACTCCCACAAACTGCCACTCTGAGCAAAGACCCTCCCCCCCACTCTGCTCCCCAGGCGCCGCACAATGGCAGCCCGCTGCTCCCCAAGGGGAGGGGTTAAATACAGAGGCAAATTTCTCCAGTGTGAGATCAATTAAGTTGAATTAATAGCAAAGATCTTCTGCAGAACATCCTACAGCATCAACTGGATAAAACCAGCTGCCAGAATAGTTTTCTGTTTTTATTTTATAATTTTTTTGTGTTTTAATTTTTAAAATCTATTTAAAAGAATTATTCAAATCTACATTAAGCCCTTTGTGATTGTGACGATATAAATCCCAGTTTTAAATATCAGGCATAATTACTCTGCCAGGCTGGTTTTATAAATGTAAACCTGAAGTAAGAAGTAACCAAGCTGGATCCAGAACAATAGTTGCTCCTTATTAGACAGAATGAGCTTAGCTAGTTTCCAGCTAAGGGAACTGTTCCTACAAGCAGAGCTACTCTTACTAGATTAGAGCAACATCTAAGGATTATTTTTCAAATCAGTTAATCTGTAGATGATTTTTTGACTAACTGATCAATAATCTCATAGCAAAAGGTTCATTAAAGATTTTTTATGAAATTTAACCAAGTGAAACTAAAATGTTTCCATTTGAGGAGTTACTGAAAGATTATATTGACATAATTAAAAAAAAATTTTTTTTTTCTTAAATGCAGAATGTTATATATATTTTTTTTTACAGTTTTGATATAATTCTTCGCTCTGTCAGCTAAAGGAATGTTTTAGAGTCTCTATGCTCCAGTTAACGATGAATCAGTAACTTAAGCAGTGGTTGATTATTTCAATAATCGATTAATCTGATTGTTTCAGCACTAAACTAGAAGATGTTTTATCTGGTTAGCAAAGCTTCCTGGGATTGATGCATGAAATGAATCCCTGCACTGCTCTCCTGAATGATGCTGTCATCAGACCTGCTTCATCACTTTGGATGGATGAAGTGTTCTGAAAATAAAGGTCCTTTAAACGGTTTTAGACACTAAATGTTTTTTCTTTCTCACTGTGCCGGTTCTGGACTGTAGAGAACCAGCTACTCTGCATCCTCTTAGAAACCTTCATCCCCTGATTCCCCTTCATAGAATCAACTTTACTTTTATTCCACCATCTGCTGCCAATGAATGTATAACAACATAAAAAGGTATTTATTTTGAAAAGGACGTACCCTTAAAATCCCAGGGTTTTATGATTTCAGTCTTTAATCCCTGGAATATTGCAATAAGTAGACATATCTCGTCCAGGAGTGACGCTGAGAAACCGGTCGATGCACATGCATAGTGCATGCATGTCGCTACACGCACGCCTGGTATTGCTGCAGAGTCAACAGAACAGCGCAGGTGAATGTTTACCGCCTACACTGAATCCTGCACTCAGCTGGTTTTCCTTAGAAAAGTTGGAACTGATCTGACTG